CCCCCCGCCCCTGCTGTTTGCTTGGTTCTGGTCGGCAGAGTTGGCATCGGGAAGGCTGGGCTCACTGCAGGCCTGAGAGCCCATTCCTGGGCATGGGGGCACCAGGAACCCTGAATGGGGCATTTGCCCTGCTCCGCAGATGGACACAGACTCAGGGGCACCCCCAACGAGAGCGATGGAGGGCAGCCGCATCCCCATGGGCTTTCTGGGGCTCGTGTTGAGGACAGGAGGGAATCCTGGGTATCACTTGCATGCCCAGAGATCTGAAGCCCCCACCTCTCTGCAGGCCCCCCTCGCACCGTGCATTCAAGGCCACAGCTGTAGTTGTCATGACGGGAATTCCCCCGGGGGTGTCAGAGCCAAACTGCTCCAGTGGCTGACCTTCCAGAAGCCGAGCACCAGGCCTTTCTTCCGAGGCACCTCTGGGCAGACTGGAACCACCAGCCTCTGGGTTTGGCAGCTAAGCATGTGAATTGTTGGCACCAGCCAGGCACTCTATGCAATGCTAGGGACCCTCCATTCCAGCTCTTTCTCTCCCTCTGTTCAGAACACACAGCTCAAGCGCCCTGTGTCTCGGTGAGCATCAGGGCTGGAGGGCACTGGGCTCCTCCTGGTGGCCCAAGGGCCCACCGTCTGTCCCGTCCAAGATGTAAACACTACTCGCTGCTGGCAATTTACAAGTGCCCCGTGGTTGGCCGGGCTCCAGCCCAGAATTTCCCTGTGCTGATGCCTGAGGCCAAAGAGCCAGTGCCTACCCACTGACCCAGGTCGGAGGTGGGTGCAGCCTGGCAGGCAGCAGGAGACAGAGGGGAGTGGGTGGCTAAGTGATGCATGCCCTTGGGTCAGCTCCTGGGAGGTCCCGAGCCATTGCCTTCTGCCCTTGGGACCTGCTCAGGTTCAGGGCGACTGAAAACCGAAACCTACTGCCATCAAGCCAGTTCCGACTACCAGGAACCCTGTAGGACAGGGTCAAACTGCTCTTGGGGGAGTCTCCCAGACTGTAGATCTTGATGGGAGCAGACAGCCGCATCTTTCCCCAGAGGACCAGCTGGTGGGCTTGACCCGCCCACCTTGTGGTAAGCAGCGCAATGCTTAACGCATGGCATCACCGGCCACCTTGATAGCTGCCTCTCACGTCAAGGTCATCCCCAACTCCTCCATCACCAGCAAGGGCGACTTGCCTTCAGGGCCTGCCGGCAGCCGGGGTCATCTTCCTGCCAGCCCCTCCTCCACACAGCTCGGGCCCTCCTGGTAGCATCTTGCCTCAGTCTCCCCAATCTCTTCAGCGGTGCCTAAACACTGCTGCAACAGCCATCTTCCAAACGCCTCGCCCTCCACCTGCTCCGGTTCCTAAAACCTTTGGTGGCTCCCTACTGCCCACCAAAGAGAGTCTAAATCCGTGGCTCCCTGCTGCCCACCAAAGAGAGTCTAAATCCGTGGCTCCCTACTGCCCACCAAAGAAAGTCTAAATCCATCAGTCATCTCTCTGCAGGTCCAGAACCAAAGGGTCTTCACACCCTTGGTCAGTGCGCATAAGAATCGCAGGGGCGAGGAGGTGCTAGTCTGAAAGGTGGATTCCTGAGCCCACCCACACAGGTGCCAATTCCACAGGACTGGAGCGGGTGGGGGAGTGGGGGAGGTGCAGATTCGGCCCTTTGAGGCAGGTGGCCCCGCACCGCACCACAGTTGGAGAACTTGAGCTGAGGTCTCATCCCTGCAGCTCTGGGCTGCTCGCCCACCCCTCCACATCCCAACACTGCCCACACCCACTCTTCCACCAGCTCTG